ATTATTAATAGATTTAGGTGTGATATGCACCATATTGTTTTAGTATAATCTTATAAACATATATAATATAATAATTGTTATGCAATAATAACAATCTTTTTACTTACACGATTTTCCATTTATACAAAATACAATAAAATATTTAATATATTTGAAATCATAAACCTTGTAGTATTAAGGAACGAGAGACGTGTGCAATGTGCATATAAGTATGAATCTGTATTTATTATTCGTATTTTTACATTTATATTCAATTTCATAAATATATATATCCACAGGCTTCTCATTCCGTAATATTTCACTTTTTCACTAGTAATTACTTTATTTACTAGTAAGTAAGTAATTACAAAGAGCGACATATTTTTAAAAATTTACAAAAACAGGGTAGGTAATTTGAACCGCTGTTATAGTTACTATTTTGGTAACTAAAATTGTCACTGTCTTAAATGTATTTTGGTGAAGTTATCATATTAATTACCATCTTGTGTTTTTGTTACCTATATTATGATGTAATTAAATGATGAATTCGGGAGTTTTTTAAATTGGCGTGTTTTACTATGTGACTATATCTCTATATGAAGATTCCTTTAAAATATGCACAATAATTTTTGCTACTCAAGAGAATCGAATAATCAATATTTCGAACCGGTATTAAAACTAAGCTAGACCAATTAAATAAAGCAAATACACAACATTATTTACAATACATATTAAAAATCATTATGACTTTTGGACAGGTAATAAATAACCGTAGCTGCTGTCCATAAAAAATAAAAGAATTTTGGTAGTTAACAGATATGTCCTATGAATAATGTTCCGTAATGAACTAAATTGTTTTTGTGTTGTCAATGTCAATGAATGCATGTTTATTTGTTATATGTATATATAAATCTGCGGTTAACCGTTTAATTAATCATCTTCCAGCCAACGTTGTGGTTGTAATAAATATACCTATCTAATTATACCTTGGATCTAAGAACTAAATATATCTAAGTTATTCTATTGAGTTAGCTTAGTCAATGGTTTATTAATATTTTAACAAAGAATTACAATAACTTGATAAAACCTACATGACCCAGGTAGGTACCCAGGTACTAACACAATTTTAATCTCTTCATTTAAAGTATCAAAATTTATTACATTTTTGTAATAATGCCAAGTTTACTGTCATAGTTTAGAATTAGGTAAATGAGATGTCTTTTGATTGTCGTTTTGATAGTAGGTATACTTATCATATAAATATTTAAACATTATCCAAAAGGGTAATTCTGCAATTCCGAACCGATTTTGACGACTCTTTTCATATGTTGCTTTTCCATACACTATATATAGGTATATATTAGTGCGGTGTAGGTACAATTTAATACCAAACTAAAATATTGGTCGTTTCCGTGTAAATGAGTAATTATGATGTTTTAAAGGGAACGGAAGTCTACTGTTAACATCCAAGGTAAGCTAATAGGTACGTCAACAGGTATGCGAAATCAATTCTTGCTATTAAGTAGGTTACGTTGACAAAGGTCACAACGTTTTGTTGTCCTATTTAATTTAAAACAATGTTTTTTGAAATACTTTTATACCGAGGTAGACCCTTGGTATAAAAGTATTTAGTAGAAAATAGTCATCTGCTTGGGTACCTAAGTTTCACCTATTTTAGCCGCCAAGCATCTTGCTTTGTCATGGGTCTCGGTTGAAAACAGAGATAAAGTGATATTATATAGGATGAGAGGCGTGACGTCTTGGTTCTCAGAAATAAGAACGTATGAATGGTATCGCGGGCGACATGACATGGTAACGTGGTGCCTGTAGTTTATATAGTATATAGACGATGACCACTTACCGTCAGCGTGTTTGCCTTCCAATTACATATAACATACCACTACATACATACATACAATTAAATCAGTACTTACTGCGGGGGACCATGTTGATCTAAGTTAGGTATGTACCTGTATATGTCTACTCAATGAATTATATATTATTATCATTTAATGATGCCTACATTCGTCTATATTGTAATATTATAATTTGGAAAGTATGTATGTCTGTCTGCTTGGTGCTTTTTCAAAGTAAATTGCTGATCGAATCTCAGTACAATTTGGAATGAAGTTGAAAAAAACATACGAAGACGTTACCCTCGTCACCCTGCTAGTCTTAATATAAAACAAAAATCTGCAGAATAGGCGACGTTTTGTAACTTGGCGTCCAATACGTCAATTAGATATATTTAGTATGGGGCTATTAAAATATTAACATCAAAGGTATTTCGTGAATTGACTTATAATTGCTAGCGCGTGCTAGTTTACTGCCAACGTTTATTTTTCTATTTATAAAAAGCCGCTCCCTATTATTGGCTTCATTGCTATATATTATTCAAGTGTCTAAAATGTCAGTACAAATATAGAATAGGAATCAATTATTAATGTGTAAGTAAGTATACTAAATTGAATCGAATTATTTTTAGTAAAAGACATATATATCATGTTTGAATGGAACATTAGATTGGCGGTTTGTTATCAGTGTTTTCAGCATCAGTGATTGAGTAAAAAATATAAATTGAGAATCTTTTTTGGTGTTATTGCAACTCACGACCTATTGTTTGTAAGCTAGAGTAAACCAAAACGTTTACTCTAGCTTACAAATAATAGGTCGAGTAAACGATAATACTCAAATTAGTATTTATAATTTATTCTTTATTAAGTACAATTAACTTCCTTAATAATATAATTATAAGTTTAAAAACAGAAAGTGTGTCATGGCAGAAAAACAAAACATTCATATGTCCAAATCTAAAATAATTTTTGTTTCCAAAATCTTGCATCTACGTTCCAGTTAGCAATCATAACAATAAGAACTACTGGTCATCTAACTTTTGGTGGGTGTACAGGGTAGATGATATTTGATGGACTACATTTGTACGTTAATGAAAGGTTTCGTGGTTAAAGTAAGGCACTAATATTTTTAGATAATGTGGGAGTGATATGTATACTAATAATATACTCGTAGATGCGAAAGTATCTATATCTATCTGTTTTTGTTACCTTTCATGACTAAAAGCTGATCTGATCATAAAGTAATTTGATAGAATTATGAGGGGAGACAATATTTTAGTAGCACTAACTAACAAGAACAGAACTTGGAACAGATATTAATAGGCGATGAAAATATTTCAAACAACAGCTACTAATTTATAATTGAGCTAAATATTCTTTTATAAATATGCATACTATTATCATATATTGATGTGATTTTGGACTACGATACCTATATAGGCATATCAAATGTAATATTTTAATGTTTGCAACATCGCAATGTTTACGTAACAAAAGCCATCTAGGGTAACATAAAACTGTACGGCGTTATCTGTCCGTCAAACATAAATCACAACGTATAAAACCAGTAGTTAACATGAGATGAGAAAATAATTTGTTTATATAAATTAGGCGGTATTGCCACGCGTGGGAAGTGAGGTGAGAGGGAGCCATAGATATTAAAAAAGTAGATACGTACAAAATACGTTTATCATTAAATACATTTGTACCTGAGCGTGATCTCTTATCACAAGTTTATTATACTTATATGAAGATCTCAGGCCGGCCTTAAGAAAATATGTATTAATGTAATACTAATATTGTGAATTTAGCGATAGAAATAAAACAAAACATTTGTACATATGACATTGTATATATATATATATATATATATATATATATAAATATAACTTTTACTTCATCCTATTAAATTAATTTCCGGAACTCGTTAAATTAAATTATATTTTCCTTGACGTTTCCTACTACGTATTTACCTATATCGATTTTTGTATTCCGATGTAGCTGATTTAATAGCGGACATAAATAGATAAGTTAATAAATAAGTGGAGCATAGAATAGTCATTGATATCAATTGAACGGATCATGAATGACAGCACAAGGACAACGGAAATAGTATGAGGCTGCTCTGAAAATTCAAAGTGCTAGACCGTTACATGTTACAGAAGAGATTGGTATAAATAAGAAAAGGTAGGACAGAAAAAATCAAAATTTGGTACTAATATATATTGTGTAACCTTTTTTCAACTAGAAAGAAAGAGAGAGAATGTGAAGTGAACGCAGTGCAGAGTTTACAAGATACGAGTTATGATCTTAAAAATATTACGCTTTGATATCTGGTTGTAATAATAATATTAATAATAATAATATAGTCCATACAGAATTACGTATTATAACAGAGAACGACAGATAAATTAAAATAATGAGTATATTTAAACTGATAAAATTAGATGCAAATGTTTATAGTAATCAGCTCTACTTATTCAACTCAGTGGAAGGAAGAGTCGCGTGCGCTGCCTACGCTGGTCGCAACACTCATTATAAATTTAAGTGAGCGAGTTGAAATGAAACAAAAGCATGTCTTTTATTTTAATTACACATTTACAACTGTCAATGTTAACTATGATTGTATGTTGGAATACAACCCAGTGTAGTGTGATGCATCATCCGTCAAAACGCAGTCGCTAAATAAAATCTAATTAGTGTAATAATAAAATTATGTCATCCATACAACTTGAATATTATAGTTAAAATGTAACCTAGATTTAATTATAGTAAGTAACTATACTTACTTTATACTTTGTTGCTTTACTTACTATGCATAGGTATCTATAATTACGAATAAAGTAGATACTTAACACTATTCGTGGCTTTGTGTTCATTTAACGAATTTTTAATGAGTTCATTAATTAAATAGGTAGGTTAAATATAAGTCATCTAGTTACAACTTTTTTATATGATACATTTATAAATAACTCCAAAAACGATAGAAGTACATATATGTCGAGTAGGATATTATTAAATATACTATATAATTTAGAAAATTAAAAATATTAACATTAGACTTATGATGATCAACTTAGTACTAATACTAGGTAAATGTAACAAATATTTGGTGACCAAATGAATTAAATAAGCTAATAATAAGTTATTGTTTGTATAACACTCTGTAATACTTTCTAATCTTATTATTCTTTTGTAACGTGATAAGCAGCGCCATCTAGAACAGAGAACGGAACTGAGTTCCAGCGACAGGGCCACATAGGTTCTTCCCGTGAAGCCATTTAGCAAGCACGAAGCGATTGCGAGAAGTGGGCACGGTGGGCAAAAAGTTGTTCCCATCTGCTTGTTCATATAGCAAGCTCATATAGCGATGTGTGTTCATGCCGCGAGGTGGCGCAGGCGGCTTATAACCTAGAAACAATTGTCATCACTTCTTAGAATATATATGTATGTATATATATAAACACTTTTAAGTAGGTACATGCTCTACGAAAAGACAAACAACAAAAACTATAGATATATCAGTAATTGGGTACCTAATTGTTTTGGAGCATGAATAAAAAGAATGAATATGGTACATTGTTAAATTACGATTCTTCAAAACAGAAACAAATTCTGATTTAAATTCTATTAATTACAAATACCTATATATAAATAACAGATAGTTTCAATAACCTCAATGTCAACGATAGCAATATTCAGGCTAGACGGTTGAAATGTTGCATACAAAATGCTTAGCACTAATTCATTGAAACTATAGTACCACAAATAAAATATTGATAATAGCACCCACCTACTAACTACTATAAATATTTTAAAGTTCTTACCTCTGTAGTCGATTCCGACAGTTTTACTGCTCTCTTTAGCTTTTAAAGCTAAGCCCTAGAAACAATCAAAATTTAAAAATATATAAACTACATTTATTCTTAATTTTTTAGGTAAACGAAAATGTGACAGTGTTAATATAACTTGTGTGAGTATTTGTTATGAGGATTAGTCAGCTTATTGGTTTAGGTAATCTAATAGGTAATCATATTGTATTATTATTCGTTCAATAGTAGATACTAAAATTATATAGGTACCAAGCTAATTTGAGTTTGACTTTACTTACTGGTATGTTAGACTTCAACATATGAAGGTAGAATTCTCCTTCCGACTGTGGCGCAGCATCAGGATCTACAACCATGATAGTGTAGAACTTTTTCTGAAACATACGTGCAAATTAGCCATAAGTTATTCTCAAGGAATAGCAATACGGATACCTTGCGTCACATCAAGTTGGTGCCATTCATGTTTGTAATGCAATTTCAGTTACATAACAAAATCAAATTCTTAGTTTGTCAGATGAACAAAGTCGTGTGTTAAAGTAATGTTTCAATCATTTTTTAACATTGTGGAATTAGTGAATATTGTTACAGTTTCGTTTATAGGAATAGGTACATACCGAATCTGCCAAAGAATATTGAAACAGCGGCTCTTCATAAAACACTTGTTTAGGTAAGAGGACGTCACAATTATGATCGTTAACCATCGTTCCACCTACACTAGTGATATTTAGCCCCGTCAATCTGTCGCATCCCTCCAATAAGCCCTTGACATCAGTAACAGTACATTGTAATGATACTCTATTTAAGTAACTTATTAAAAATATAATTTTAGGTAACTTATTGAACATTTTAGAATCGTTGAAGCTAATCCAGGCGGTATATAGTGTGTGACGAAGTCTATTGCTAAATTGTGAATTCAGGTGCTCTTGTTATGGATTACGAAATTTCAAACAAAACCTTATAGCTGAAAACATTGGTCGTGGTGACGCAATTTATTTACACTTTGTCCAACTGCAAGTATATAGGTACCTACCTACTACAATACCAGTCCTACCTATTTCCAAGCATTGTATGTACTTTATTAGATAGGCTTATTTTTCATTGATGAGCTAAATATAGTAAATGATTGTATAAATTGTTATGTGTTAGATTTTGAATAGATTTAAAAAAGTTTATTCGTAAGAAAAACACCATACTTTTCATTGATTACAACGCCAAAACTCTTAATTAATGTAAATTTTAATACAATGTGGCCTAAAACTAACAAAAAAATGAAATAAATTACCATTTCTGAACGCTTTTCACTAATAAAAAAATGGCGCTCACGCCGCTTGTCGCTTCGTCAGCCGATGACGTCGAAATAGATTCATATTTAATGTACTTCGCAGCCACGTAGCTACTATGTTTGGATTTAATTCTAGCAATGAGAAGTTATAGAAGCAATTTAAAATAATTTTATTAGTTATTTTCTGTTATAGCGCTATTCCTATTGGTTTTAAACCGAAAAAGGCTGAGTACTGGTGCAGGGCCGACTACTAGTGCCAGTACCCTACGTATTTCTTAATTATCTATGTATAATTAGACTACAGAATATATTTAATTACTCCCGTCCAAGATCTACGCGTTGTAATTTGACATAAGTGTGTATACAGTAAAATCACTCAAATAATACTATTTTTACTAAGTTTTTAGTTAAATATATAAAATTATATATTTTAGCATTACAAAAATAAATACCCAATCTGTGCATAGTGTTGCATTATGCACAGATTGGGTATTTCTCAACAATGCAGAAAACAAGACAGTTTCTGAGATATCTGAAAGGATACGTTGTGCTAGATTATGGTGCCAACGACGCTGGAGACTTCTTTGCGATCCTAACTTAAATGGTAGAGCAAAATTTCAACTTTATAAATTCTTTGTAATGCCAATTCTTACATATGGATGTGAACTATGGAAATTGGATGATAGATCTGGTAATAAACTTTTCCGTTTTGAATATGCAGTTCTATTAGAGATATATAAATCGATGTATCCTCATAGACACCCTAAAAGACTAAGACCTACCATAAGAGCGGTATATGGACGTTATCGTGGTATTGATGTCGTAGACTATGTGCTAAATAAAAGATTAAGTTGGGACTATTTAGTAAAGATTGAAGAAAATGTATTAAGATGTTCTAAACTGCGACAAAAATGCGTACACTGGTGGGATGAGCCAATGATGATAGTACGAAATTCAAATTGTTGTGCCAGTACAAGTCGAAACCCTAAATCGATTCTAAAAAATCGAAGACCATTGAAATAACAGAATTCATGTTCCATACGCACCAGAAGTATGAATGATACATTTGATCGAACTAAAGATTTTTTTGGTTTGTATTTGTGGGATTGTGCTATATTATACTTCTTAACTATCAATTAATTATGCCTACACGATAAAAAGGTGATTATGGCGACATATGGCGTTATACGGCGAACATATTTGATAAATATTATATAAAGTTCACGACGCATATTTGTAATAAATAGGTACGGTACGACTTGTGATAATAACACTAACCCTAAAAATCGTATTTAGCATTACCATTTTAATAGAATGTATATAATTAAGTAAATTATATTATTAAGTAAGCATTTTAATGATGAATATTTTTCGTTATTGCTGTTATTTCTTATAACACTTCTATAAATATAATAGGTGTTACTCTCAGTAACACTTCATGATAGCGGTAAATTAGATATATCTATCCCACAATTATAATTAGATTTCGTGTCTGCAACAATATATTTTTATCTATTATGAATAGTTAAATATTATAATACAGAATTATTTTTAGAACTACCTAATTTAATATAAAAATTATACCTAATGCTTACAGAGTTAAAGAGTACAAGTATGTTACAGAGTACTTGTATGTTCATTAAAGGTTTCTGCTGCTTTTTATTAGCAAGACGTACACTGCTTCGTAATTGTAAATTGAGATCGTTATCTTTATTTGTCTCAAGAGTATTGAGGTTTTCATGATGACAATTACAGGTTCTTCTATTAGCTCTAGCGAAATATTACATGTGATCATAGGCATATCTCGAAAATGCATTTATCAATTGCCGAACATTATCCAAATGAGATCCAGTTACTCTTTTCCACCTAATCCTATGTATCTTTGCGTAACTAATCACATTAATGTCGATATAACGCTTGTATAATACATTTTTATTGACAGTACCAAAAATTTGTGATAGTGCCTGAATTTCGAATTCCTTCAGTAAACCATTTCTACCTTCAAAACAATCATATATAAGCAGCGGTCTTAAAAATATTTTGTAAGCTAGAATTTTCTTTGCTAATGACATTCGAGGTTTGTTTAATATTTCTTCACATTTTTTATTCCAAAATCTTGTCAAATTTGCACTAGGCATATTTGCAAGAAAATCTATTTACGCATAAATATTTTGTTTATTTCTTGTAGTTTATTACCATATAGTACATATAAAAGTAAATATGTACTTACATGGCATGTATAGCGAAGTAATTACGCTAGTATATAAATAGCGATAAAATGTCAAATAAAATAAAAATTACAGCTATAGATGCCCATTTAGCATAGAGGTAGTCTTAGCGTACCTACACATAATCATTAGAGGGTAGGTACCTAAAAACTAAGAACAAAACAAGAACATACTTTCCATAATAGAAAACAACAACTCCAACTTATTTCTCCTTGTAATGAATAGTTTAGATAATTTAATAATTCTTCTCTTTTCTGACAGACACAGGTTATTCGTACCACCCTAGGGGGTGAAGCTTAGGGCCCCGAGTGAAACCCCTTTGCACTGATACCAACACCGAATTAAATTATCCTGTGGATAATTTCAAATATTTAAGTATTCTAGATGGCGCTACTGTTACTATCGTGTGTCTCGATATACAGAGCACATACTACTTGTATAGAGAAAGAGATAGTAGTAGTAGTAGTGGTATATTTTATCCACAAGTGGATAGGCAATGGTACGAGACCATACAGCCTAATCTTCAGTAGTATTTCCATGAAATTCAAAAATTCTTCAAGGCGATATCGCCAAATCTTTTCATTAATTATAAGTTTGTGTTAAGTCCTAGTATGTGTCCATAATTGAAATGTTTATAATTCTCCGATAGTTGCTATGATAAAGTCGTAAATTGGTTTAAAAGTTGCAGTGCATTTGAATAGTTCTTGAAGCGATGGCGGAATAATCTTATATAGTTCTTGAAGCTTGGCAATGAGCAAAATTCTGTTTAAATTGAAGGCCGGGCAATAAAAAAATATATGTTCTAATGTTTGATTTTCGTTACTAGAGCATAAAAGACAAATCGGAGAATTAATGATCTTCATTTGGTGTAAATGTGCATTGAATTTACAATGTCCAAATCGCAGTCGACAAATTTGAGTATAAAATCTTCTCTCTAAAAATATTTTTCCCTGAATAAACCAGGGTTTTTTGCAGAGAAAGAGATGTTACGCATACACAATATCTTAATTCTATAACCTATGATGCGTCCTGGTGTCAATGTAAGACGCGACATTTCATTTCATGACAGATTGACATTTTGTCTTTGACAAATTAGCAATTGAAAGCAAAATATTTTGGTTTATTTTTATTGTACATTATTGTTTATCGTACGTAAATCTTAAATTGTGTATGGATTCAAATTTTTAAATCCCATTGTTAAATTTGTGAAATGGAGTCTCATCCACTTAACTTGGTATAAAATTCTTCTTTATAATTCAAGTGCGTGTTCGTAAGTACATACGTAAGTACACTTAACACCATTCTATTTTCTAGGCTCATCAACAACATCGTCGTGCTGAAGCTCATCTCATGAACAATAGATACGACGAAGCTATGCAGTGTCATCATAACGCTGCTGAATTACTTCTCGATGCAATGAAATCTACCAGTTCTTCAGTTGCTTTGGAGTCTATAACGCTTCAACACAGCTACCACCTTAAACAAAAAGACTTGATTAAAAATAAAAAAGAACAGTATGCTCGAGTTAAAAAAGCCATGGATAATATAAAAACATTGAGTAAGGAATCTCCAAAAAACTTACAAGCTAATGATTCTTCTAAATTACAAATAGCTATCTACAGAGCAATAAACGAAAGTGATTCTTTGTTGCAAATATTGACTTCTCAAAATAATGATGATCAAGAAATATTGACAAAGAAAATTATGAAAGATGATATTACAGATGGAAAGAGATTGGACAAATCCCAAAACACTGTTGTTGAAGAGTTACAAGTTTTGAGTCAAAGTCTACATTCACTTGTTGAACAATTAGTATTGCAAGTTGAAGTATTAAAAGATGAAAATATGACCCTGAAAGAGAGAGTTAATTATTTAGAAAAGGAAAGAATGAGGTATATGTGTATCCCATTACCCCAAAATGATTTAAATAATTATCAATCTAATATATCTCTCCTTGATGATTTATCTAAAGACTTTCTACAGAAATTACCCATTACCAAACCATCTGATAAACCTCCAATGTTTCCAATACCTTCTTCAAGCAGTGACAGGTCCAATCAGCAAAGTCATTTTGATATAAGTGCATTAAAAAATAATTGATATATGTATACATAGACATATTTATTTATTAGTTTAAATTTGTAAATACAATTTGTGAGATGAGATTTTATACTCAAGTAATATGTTCTGTTGTAAAATGTTAATGAATTACTGTTAACATGTCTGAGAAAATAAAAGGTTTTTCTGGTATTAAAAAGAAGCACCCAGATTAAAAAAAATACAACAGCTCTCTCAAAATATATATCAAGTTAGAACTAGATTCTTTTATTTGTCTATGTATGGTTCTTGGTGTTTTTAAAATATGTAATGTGAATACATAAAGTATTAATATTATTATTTCTGGATTTATTTTTTTGTGTTTTGTCATTTTTGTATAGTCATGACTATATTGCTATTAATAAACAACAATTTTTGTTTTGTACATGTATAATTTGAAATCCATAACCTCTTGAGACATGAACTGTCAGATTTACTAAAATACTTGGAAAGTGAGATATGCAGTTTGTCTCAAACTGTTCTATTATGGCATATGCTAACTTTTATTTCTTCTCAATGCCTTTAGTATTTTTTATGTAATTCAAATGATAAGCAAGCTGATAGCCCACCTGATGATAAGTGGTAATTGTTGCTTATATACATGAATAGCTCCACAGACATCATGTGTGCCCAGTGATACCTCTTATGGGTTTGCCATTCCAGAGGACTAAGTGCCCTGGTTGTTACTTGTAATTTCACTACTTCACTATGGACTATCTAATAATAGTGGAAGTTTGTCTTTGTATAGATTACACTCCTACCATACCGCACCATTTGTATAGATTAAACTCCTACATACCATGTTAGTACTCAATGTTGTGTAATATATCATTCCTTTGAATATATAAAAAATGTTGAATGGGAGAGCAGTTATAATAATTTTATTGGCACTGGCCAGGAAATACCAAACCTTACGTTCATACAAATTAGGAAATAAAGCAAATAAAATTTATTTATAGATATGTATTGCATATTGGTCTTATATAAAATAAAATCTTACTTTTGTTTAGTTTAATGTAAAAATAAACTTCCCAGTTAATCAACCGAGAATAACTATTCTTACAACTAGAAGGAATCTATACATTAACGTTCAACTAATAACATTCTTATATGTATTTTTGGTAACATGGAATACCTATCATACTCGTACATCATAGACTTTATTTTTATTAAGATTCGCCTACTCTGATAATTATTTCAATATTATTCAACATGCAGATATTTTGTCTAATTCTAAAAGCTCATTCGAAAATTATTCTGCTAATTTATCAAACAGATCTTTTAGTGTTTATTACACAGATAATGAATATCAAACCTAATTTATATTCTAGAATTACGAAAATATAATTAATAATTTAAATAAATAATAATTAATCAATGTTATCTTAACATTGATAGCAAATAAAAAATAATAGACAGGTTGTTAGGCTTTTTAGCATTTAGTATTTTCATATTAAACGAGATAATGCTAGCTAACTAGGTAAGGTAGTAGTAGTTAGTAAAATGCTAATAAGCAATTTTTGTATCGGCTTCAATTTTCTTACGTTTCGTTACTTTACTTTTGTACATATATTTGCAACACACGTCTTTTGTTAGTACTTAATAAATATTATGACGACCTCTAATACAAATCCAAAGCAATCCTGAATCAATTGATTTACACTGTTCAATATGAAATATAACAAAATACATATAGCTGTAATTATATATATATAACTTCATTAAAAATATAAAGAGAATTGTTCTTAATCTAACAAATTATAGTTAATTAAGCTAATTTACACAACAAAAATTTTAATAATATTATAAGTAATTCGAGAAATAACGACATGATTAGGCACTAAAATGGCGAATCACATACTGAAGTGAACAGTGAAGTTATAATAATGATCAACTCACAACCACAATATACATAGAACAGATCATTACACTCTGATTATTTTTAGGCAATTACAATATCTAATAATTTTGTTAATGAAATATTTGGCTATTATTTTATATATATACATATAAGACAAACCTACAATGGAACGATTTTTATTATTATCAGTTACACTTGCACCCATATAACTTATTGTGATTTGTGGTGGATTAGTGATAATGTTATTCTTTCACAAGCCTTATTAAATATTAATAATACATTACACCCAATTAAAACAAATCTTAATTATTATACACAAGATCCACTAAAATCTGATTTGTAGTACAATACAAATAATAAACTTGTTTTCATTCAAGAGATTTATGGAGTGTAAGGCGGTGGAGGGGGAAGGATAGAAAGATCATCAAAAGGAAAATATTGTTGGGTACCAAGAACAGGTGGGGCATATGATGCATGAACAGTAGGCACATAGTCTGCACTAGGTGTGTATGGTGGAAGTGTTGGCACAGCTGGAGTTGGACCAACACTGTGTGCTTCATATCCATCCCAGTCTTCCATTAGATTTCTCCTTTGAATATCTTCATCACTAGATAATGGTGCACCCCAAAGATTGGCTGCGGATGCCAAAAGCGCGAGAGCACCTAGAACATTGTTAATTAAAAAAATTTACTGTATCTTAAAAATGGATGTGATTATTATTTCAGGTACCATAGGTAGTGTACCTACATCAACTTTTAGTTACAAAACTATTATGTTATACACAGAGTATTTTGGAGAATATTGGCTTCTTCCACTATGTTTAAGTTATAAGGTGAAGCTCCTGGTATAATAGATAGTTTTACTCATTATACATTGAGTATTTTGCTAACAAAAAAATTTTTGCCACCTTCTAAACATAGCAAAAAGAATTCAGAACACCACATTTCTTTGTACATAATGAAAATAAATCAAAATTTTAGTAGGCTTGTATCCTACCATATTGGATTCAAGATATATTGAGAGAAATTTGAGCATGTCAGGTGTTACACTCAACACAGCATCTACAGTAGTCAGTTTTGACAATTATTATTTGTAATTGTATAACAACTATCAAATACTAACCTGCACCAGTTATTGTATAAAATCCATACTCATAATCAACCTTTATTGCATTTGGGTCGCTGTAATTTTCACTTCCCAAGACTACAGTTGTATAATAACAAACACCCACTATAGCTATCACCCAGAATACACACATTATACTGGGGATAGCATTTCTTCGTAACAATTTAATGGCTTTGCTGTTCAGACTGGTTAGGTTGATTAGTACTCCAATACAAGAACATAGTAGCACCATGAAGCACAATAAAATAAGAATTCTCATAAGGGTGATGATTTCTGGTGTAGTACATGGTGGTAATCCTGTAATTTAATAATTTATTAAATTACTTAATACATTATTCATTATAGTAATAAGCATCATTAGTCAATATAGATATAGACTATTAGATATTACATATATTTACCATCACTAAAAAAAAAATATAGAGATGGGACATGTAAAATGTATATAACACAATATAAAGAATTCTATACAGTGTCAGCATAGAGGTGCTGTAAAATATACTAAGAAAATATTATGAAAGTGTATAATTTTCCATTTTCATATCCACCCAACATTGGACTAATGTACTCTGAAGAAAAAGAAGATAAATACCATCACTAATATTACAATATTAAAAACTATATGAATATATATACATATTCTTCAGACATACATAGTATGTATGCATGAGATAAAGAGAGCTGGATTCAAAAAGCCAATACTAAATATAGTATTGGCTTTTTGAATGTAGCTTAACCAGAATTTGATAAAAAAATTCAAATTAATCACCATTATAATCTGATCTATTCAAAGGATCAAATTCTGAACCTTGATGTATGTTTATTTGATTGTCATCATTGTCACTATCATCATCATCTTCGTCAAATGTAAAAAATTGGGCCAATGATAAACTTTGGGTGCAATGTAATCCCTTTATTCTGAACCAACTTGGCTGAACCAATGCAGCGCATGTCAAAAGAAAAGTAGTGACATTGAAGAATGCAGCAATTTTATTTAATTCCTTATCCTTGAAAGGAATTGTCATTTTAAAACCTGAAAGAAAAGATTGAATGTTTACTTTTTGAACAGATTTTTTTCTCATATTAATATCTATATCTTATATTAATATACACAATAAGTATGGCAAAAACACAATAATAAACCCACCCGAATGGCCCGAAGATGCTGTGTAACATAAACAAAGCAGTTCTATTGTGACCTTTGGCCTTTTGAAACTTAGTTAAAGTTTAAATACATTTTAAATAATATACACTATATGAGAACAATTCCAGAATCTATCATCATATTCATTATTATGAATAAATAAATTATCAATTTCATTACTGAAATCATTGTAATTCATAATGATACAGAAGACATAAAAAGTAAATGAATATGTTATTCATTTACTTTTTATGTCTAAAGTAAACATGACATCATTATTTTTTTTAAGAACTTGGAGGTATAATGGTAATGGTATATTCCTATGGTTTTATTTCTGCAAAGTTCAATATTTTTTATGTGTAGTTTTTTTGTATTTTGGGTATAGTACAAGTTAATATGGAATTTGTGCCCTGTTTATTATTTTTATTAACTTTTTAAAACTAATTGAAATGTATTGTTCTATAAATACAAGATAAGAAATGTATTCAATAAAGTTCATTTGTTGCAAGATGAAACACTAAAAATAGCATCATCACACCACACTAGGAGGTATTTTGTACTTGCGGGAGGGGGTTCAGTAAAAACATATACTTACATAATGATTTATTTTGATTAAAAATAACATATTTACAAAATAATTTATTAGTTTCAATAATAAACTAAAACAAGTATCTACTTATCATGACTACACAATAATACCCTTAGTGTTCGGGGTGTTATGGTGCTTAAATGAAATTGATTAAAAAGACATAAAATACAGAAATATTGTTATTTTTTTATGATATTCAATTATAAAGTAATGTACTAGTACTAAAATGTAAACACGCTAATTAAATTTACGATGGTAAAACTGCTAATAAGGAAAATACGGAGGAAGTTTGGACGTCATACCTCTGATCCAAGTTAAACACCCCATTACATTGAATCACTCATTACAAAATCAGCTACGAATATAAAATTCAATATAATTATGAAGTGGTATTAACAAAAAGTAACTAAAATAAGCTTTAAGTAGAAATTATACGAACATTAAAAGTATGTAAGCCTGGCTATAATTTGTCAATTTTGACGTTTTATTGGTTTTGATTTTGACACTTCAGTCAAGTTTTTTTTATCGTGGTTATGGAGACAAGTTATTTCGTCGCCAGGCTTCATAAAAAAATATATACTTAATATGAAATTAGCCGTGCGACATGTAAAAAGAAGCATTTTAAATCTTATTACTTACGTCAAAAATAAGTTAATTTTAATTCTAATGAATTATTCAGAATTAATGTCGCTTAATATACTTATAAGATAGTTTTCTTGATAAGTATTTCAAGCGATATAAAATATTTAAATTAGATATTAGTTTCTAGATGAAATATAATATCCATTAAATAGAATATTTAGTTTACAAATTATTATTTTTCTGTTCAGTCACTTATTTTCTAACAAACTATATATATAATATGTATATATAACTGAAATAGTTATTGGCACCATAGCATTATAACATTTTTGTTTCGAGATTTTAAGGAATGGCGCCCAGTAACCTCGTTGTTAGCAATCTACCATCGCTAGATTGACCTCGACGGTATCCCTCCTGAAAACAACCATAGTTAAAGAATTCGGTACGACGAATGTAGGTATAGAAGATATATGTTATCGGTTATATTTATAATGTATTTTCTATAAACTATCAGATGATTAGCATGTTGTTAGTTAAATGTGGAATATTCTTCTTTTAACTCTGTTATTGTAGGTTATTTGCTATTACTATAGATTCATTAAAACTTATACTCTTCAATAAGTTTTTTTATGAATATCTTATTCATTCGACAGTTTGTCCATATTTAGTATTGAAACAAAGTTTGTTGTATACAAACCAATCATATGTAGGTAACTATATTTTGTTTATCCTTGGCAATAGCTGAGTATACTTTAATAATACCCGTATATCCTTATATTATGGATATACAATAAAAAAATTAACTGCCTGCTCCTACTTGGAATATAGGTACAATAAAATATGTATGTGTAAAACTATTTTTTATGAATTTTAATAATGTAATTGACCTCAAAGAATGTGCGGTTTTAATAATGTATTCTGGTAAGTTTCACTGATAATTTTGTGTTGGTATTATAGCTGCGGGTTACAAATAAAAAAAATTATACACAGAAGTGTTAAATAACAATATTTAGGATACCACGAAACGAAGTGGCGGACTCGACTAGTAAAATATATTAATTTATTCGGTTTTTTTGCAGTAAAATGCTTTATCCATACATTTACAATTACCATCTATAATTCTACGTAGCAGAATTCATATGTGGTTTGTTAAGCTCAAGTAGCACACAGTTACAAGAATATCTACTCTTGGAATGCAGTCTGCGGCGAACCGCTTACGAGAAAAGTTTCTTTAAAATTTCATGTCGCGGCAACTATAAAATTAAAGCAATCTTTTTTTTTTTAAATATAAATGGGTATGTTAATATTATCTGAAAGACGTATGTTGCTGTTAGTTAAAAGTGCAGTAAATTTGTTATAAAAAATGTTTTCTATTTCAGGTTAAGTCTGTAAACACGTGAAATGACTAACGAAAGTTATATATCAGAATATTTTAAATTTAATAATCTGACATCAGAATACAACGACAATGTACATTCGCTGAATTCTACCTTTTCAACTAAAAACTTGTGCGGTACCACAAATAATTACTTATTTAATTCAAGTTTTGGAATTGAAACTGCAGTTCCAGAATGGGAAGCGGTGACCACAATTTTGGTTTTAACAACTGTAATAGTTGGTACTATTTTCGGAAATGTTCTGGTTATATTGGGTGTTTTTACATATAAACCTTTAAGAATAGTGCAAAATTTTTTTATAGTGTCGTTAGCAGTAGCAGATTTGGCAGTGGCGGTGTTAGTGATGCCTCTTAACGTAGCATACTGGACACTGGGCAAATGGCTCTTAGGCAAACATTTGTGCAAAATGTGGCTTACTTGTGACATAATGAGTTGTACGTCATCCATTTTAAACCTGTGTGCTATAGCTCTCGATAGATATTGGGCTATTACAGATCCAATAAATTATGCTAATAAGAGAACTTTGAAAAGGGTAATGTTCCAAATAACGGGTGTTTGGATTTTGTCACTCATGATAAGCTCTCCACCTCTCTTAGGATGGAATGATTGGCCAGAAGAATTTACTACTGAGACTCCATGCCAGCTAACATCGGAACCGGGCTATGTGATATATTCCTCCTTTGGTTCATTTTTCATTCCTTTGTTTATAATGACCATAGTTTATATCAAAATATATGTAGCTGCCAGAAAAAGATTGAGAAAACGTATATTAATTTCTCGGATGCATATACCGGCTGTTAATGGCACCAATCAAGAAGACAGCCAGGAGAGAGACGAATCGGATAACGACTCTGATAGCGGAGAAAGTTTTAAACGGCAACGAAGAGCATTTATGGATATAAAGAAAAACTTTTTTGCACCACTTTTGTTAATGAATGATCCAATAACGAGACAAAGAATTGAAACTAGTATTCAACCACTACAATCAAATCAATCTTCAGCTGAAAGTTATAAAAATTACACTACAAAAGTACTCGGGTCATTCAGAAAACTAAGCCATAAAAATAAGAAACATGAAAAACCTCTGATATCAAGTATTAATAAAAGTGGTGACGTGGTGCATCAATTCATAGAACAAAAACAGAAGATATCATTGTCAAAAGAGAGACGAGCTGCTCGAACTCTTGGTGTAATTATGGGCGTATTTGTCATTTGTTGGATGCCATTTTTCTTAGTGTATTTGGTGTTACCGTTTTGCCCCTGGTGTTGTCCGACTAACCAATTCATTAACTTCATAACATGGCTTGGTTATTTGAATTCAACGGTTAATCCTATAATATATACAATATTTAATTTTGAATTCAGGAGAGCTTTTAAAAGATTATTAGGTATAAGCAGATAATTAATAAAGTTTTTAAAGTAAATTTATGTAATGTAATGTAATTTGTGTAAGTTCCGTAATTATAGAAAATATAGGTACCTACATCATGTTGTAGAGAAAAATATATATGAAATAGATAATAGATAGCAGTAGTTCAAGTAAAGTCGTAGAACAGTAGCAAGTTTCAGATAATAATATAATGTGGGTAAAAACATGATGTGAATTTTATTCGTAACACGAAATAATATTATTCAATAATTAGAATATGTATCGTGACAAAGTTTATGTACCGAATACTATTTCGGAGTAAAATAAAATCAGGTTGCCTGAAATCGCGTTATTTAAAACTTATTTTCTCATAAAATAGGACACTGAAGCGGTAGCATTCGACTAATTGTGTCTCAACAATAACGAGAAGTAGCCGACTTGAGATTTTGTCAAGTATCCCCAAGCTAACAAGAGCTGACGTAGTGATGCGCGGTGAGGCTTTACATAATTACCTGTGTGTGTAGTACAACGGATGTTACAAGATCCTCGATTGCTTTATTAAATTAACTTGTAATGTTTAGGATTGTCGGAGCATAGAAGCTCAATTAAAATGTCATATTTTTAATATCATAAAAAGTTTCAATATCACTAGAAAATGTAATACGTATATTATATTTTAATTTCAAGTATTTATCAATATTATAGTTACTTGGAAATTATATTATATATATTATGACATGTATAAAATAATTGCCATATCCTTTATTTATATCTATTTCTATTTACCTTATATCTCCACGACTCTTCATACAGTTATTCAGAAAATTAATAATTATTATCCTGTAATTAATACTTTAATATATAAATATAAAGTAATTAATACTTTATATTTATATATATATTTAGTAAACCTAGATGATACAGACTGACACGAGAGTATGCGTTAATGAAAGTTATCAATCATTGTTCTGTATGTCGGAGCATCTCTTGCTAAAGACACTTACATGATAAATTGCTTCAAATTGGCTTCTATTATTATACCATTATTATTTTACTTAAGAATTTATATTGTATACATTAATCCACTAACTTTCAATATGTGTTTTTTTTACATCTATTGGGTGTGTTTTTAATGTAAATCCGCAGTGTAAATAAATACAGTGACTTATATAAGTATTTGGTAAAAGGCTCACACAATATCTTCTATGAACAAGGCCAGTTATAAATTTAATAATAAATAAATAAATTGAACTGACTTTTCACCGACACTAATCCCTATTGCCCCAACCAGTTACAGTATCAAATAAACTTTAAATGTGAATGATAATAGGCAATAAATTTGCTAATGAAGAAGTTTATAGATTAGGTAACTACTACATCTATTGAGATAGACTTGTACAAAGTCATCTACGGGAGTAACAGAGTTCAGCCTCAATGCGTTCGCGTCAGAAAACGTAAGAACTAAATAGCGAAACAATGTTTAGTGTGCATTGCTTCCCTATTTAGTTCTTAGTGAAAACGCTACCGTCTAATTGCTGGGACTATATGGTAGCAGTTAACCCTTCAAGAGAGGCGTTTGTTCTACAGTTAACCGTCAGTGGGTTATCATAGTATTTAATAATTCAAAATGACAGTAACTCAGTCTGGTGAATCAAAGAGAATTTATTACATAAAATTTAGTTAATTCCACTTGACTGTTAACTTTGTACGCGTTTACAACATGAGATCTATCGTGGTATATAACAGTTAACCATTTCATAAATTCGTAGGTACAGTTCGTGTCCAACAACAATGTTTTATATGACATAAATCTAAACGTGCAAGTGGCCGTTATCATTGGATTTACAATGGTAGCAATTTAGTGTGATATAATTTCATTGTTTGTTAGAACATAGGATTCATTACTACGTGTTCGACAATGGTGTAGAAGGATTTAAGTCAATGATGTAGGTAATGTTATTGCTTTAGCTATGCATTTGATTATACAAAAACATTTACGCAGGTGCAGACAACTTCACGTGCAGTAGCATCGAAACGGTCAATATTAATTCCTCGCCGGACGGAGTGGACTAGGATGACAGCACCGGTGATCTAGCCCTTTATTTTTTTAATCCCTAGAGAATTCACACAGCACTATCTAGTCCTAACCTGAGCAGAGCTTGTGTCATGGGTACAAGACAACTGATTAAATGACGACCTCGTTGGTATAGCGGTCTAGCACACCGCTTTACGTCCGATGGTCGCGGGTTCGATTCCTCGCACGGCACAAACATTTGTATTCATGAGTATGATTGTTTGTATCGATCTGGGTGTTTTCCATGTATAATATGTATGTATCTACGAAAAAAAAATATCTATGTAATTGTATCAGTTATCTAGTACCCATAACACAAGTTTTAGGTAGCTTAACGTGGGTCTAGATGGCGCTGTGTGAATTGTCCTGAGATAAAAAAAAATACATAGATAATTTTCGAAATATATGTAAATACATAATATATACTAATATAAAATAACCAGAACAATACAAACAATCATACTCAAGAATACAAATGAGCACAGTGCGAGGAATCGCGATAACTACATTATTGTTACCAATATACTTGAAGTTCAACAAGATCTTTTTAAATCATACTTAATCATTTTAATATACGGCACTATAATTAATACTTCTTTTGTACGTGATCGATGATTTTAGATTAATATGTTACTTTTTTAAAAACATTTCATACTTCTTTATTTTGCCCTCTGTGTAAAGTTTTTAACAAAATTTATTTATGCGATGTTAGTTCTCGTTGTACGATTTTCATTCGCAGGTAACAAATGAAAATGTTTTCTTTGTATTGTACTACTCAGTGACTAATGCGTTTAATCAGTGGATACAAGTACTGCTAACAACTTAGTACACATAGATACATATAGTATTAATACAGCATACCTAGATAGAACCTTGTCATATTTAGTAGAATAATATATAGCTAAGGCATTATATTATTATGAAGGCAAGTAGGAACTATGAAGTATAAGCTTTTTGTATTATAAAATACAGTTTCAGTTTTTCAGTTTTGTATTATAAAATACAAGCAACTTTCAATTGTTTAACACAAAATAATGACTCTGTTAAAAACTATAGAGTAATTGGGGTAATATGTTCAAAATTAAATTGTATATTTTCTCAATAAGGTAAAATAATGTCTGCACAATTTTGGGGTTCGATATTTAAGAACAGTATCTACGTAATAATGCGATTATGCCTAGTGTCCCGGAAACTATACAATGCCCAAGGGATATCGGCTTAAAATTACACACCGATTATACCGTTAGGGGCCGGTAATAATTATTTATTACTTAAGCTACGGTTATGGTAGAAAGTCAGCCTACACAAATTACAGTATACCCTTAACTAATGAAAAAGTTATCTACTTTTAATGTATCATATAGATAATATGTAGGTAATATTTTCATTCTCGAATTGCGAGTTAATATATTTATTTATCGAAGTTATATAGAGATATATCATAGTCCTATGTATATATAGAATTTAATTATTATTATTACCTACTGATAACTTAATTATGATTATCATCCAGATATATAAAAAATGCTAGAACGTAATAGGTAAGTTTAAATATTACATTTATAGAAAAGATGTTATTTTATTTATTAAATATCGTTGACTTAGGAAACAGCAGTTATCTCAGGGCATCGTCACAGTCTTAAAACTAATGTTAAAATGTTTTTAAAAATTATGTTCATACTTATAATATTATTTACTTTATTAAAGGTAGTTTGATTATAATTTGAAATGAAGATGCTTGTTAGACCCGTACGCCCTGATCTGGAATCTAAATCATTTGAGACCCGAATTCTATAATTCGAGCTCCTAACATTCACTATGAGTAGTTCATTTTTTAGATTGTTACCAGTGTGTTACACACTTTCAATGATAATTTACATCAAAATCTTATTGCACGATTAATCATATGTAAAAATAATAACATACCGAGACAAAGATTGTACGAATTCACCTACTTATTTTTGTATCTTAAAGATATATTATTTAGAAATATTTTTGCTTCCTAAAAAATCAGAAAAAGAGATCAGTAGTATCTCCTTAAACGCAGACTATACTAAACTACACATACATATAATTATGTACGTGTACGTCGCTGTCATCTGTCCATAATGGTCGTCTGCCCTCGGCCGTGATTTGTTTTCTACAGAACTTATTGTCCACAACCTCCTTATTGGGCAAGTCGTCAAGGTGTAATATTGTTTATCTACAAATCTTCAATTTTTGGTGAATAAATAATATAAGCATTGAGGAATTGTAAACATAATAAATTTTAACGAAACATGAGTTGGAATTCACACATCCATTGGGATATATATATCTAATATACAAATGTTTAACCTACTCAGACAACAAATGAATACGTATCTTCAGTATTTGATTAATACAAAATATAATTAATATATAATATTAGGTACCTACAGAACATCTGCTACTTTACAATCCTGCCTCTCATTTAGTAGTAAATCGCTTATATCTAAGAACTCTCTATAAGAATAAGATAAATTTAAGAATAATCATTATTGGCAATTTTCCAAATTAGCCTGCATTCCAAAGACAATGAAAGTCCATAGAACAAACAATAGATAGCGAGCATACATACACGACTTAATGTCGGATTAGCTAAAATTTGTACCTCTTGTTGCGAATTTTCCGGTATAATTCCAATAGGCTGGTGATTAATATCTTCATTTCCTGCAACTGATCCGGCTCGACATAAATCCAATTGTATTATTCGTGTTTCTGTTAATTGAAATTAACAATATCGGGATCTGGCTGTCAATTGAGTTTGTAGTCAGATGTAAATACCAGGTAGTGGTTTTAATTATTAGTACATCAGCAACCAATCACGGGTTAGTGTAACAGACAGTATATCTCACTGTACGCGATGGAGTCGTTTTATATATATAGTTAGGTATATGATACATATTATATCTTCCAAAAGAAATTTCGAAATGTTATT